TCATGGGTATATTTAGGAATTTTTTTCGACACCAGTTGACTAGCCCTCAGTGCTTAATCAAAAACAGATAGTGTTGAACAAATTGTAACAGAATGTTGTCTGCATTTGTAAAATTTTTAATTGGATTTTTTTTATTTTTTGGGCTATGTTAAAGAGTCAAGGAAATTAAGTTATCCCTTCAGAACCTTATTAATTTGTGACTGAAGTTTTTGTTAGCTTTGGTTATATGTTCAGTTTCAATTCTCTGAAAATACATCAGGGGATATGCTATCAAGTAGTGCATTTGACTGAGATAACAGGTCCCCATTTCAATGCTTGGCAAGCTTGGCAGCGGTAAATTATGAATTGGGGCCATTTCCAATCAACTAACAGTTTGAGGCGGTATATCAAATTGTTTGATTACTCATCCATATCTTAAATTTTTTATTTATTTAGGTTGAAAATTAAAATTAATTTAAAAATTATTGACCTTTATCTGAAAATTACTCCTTTCGAATCTTTGAAAAGATGTAATATCACTTATTTTTTTTTCATTTATAAGATTAGGAGTTCTCAGTGTAGTCATTTGACTCATCATATCCCATTAAATCTAGTACCCTAACGTGTCCTAGTGTTTTTAGCTGAATAAGGGTACTAATTTTCCCAAAAAGGGGTAACTGAGATTTAAAGTCCCCAAAAAGCCACAAAAATTTTTTGGGGGGGACAAATTTTGCTAACATTTTTTTTCCTGTACCACTAACTTAATATTTACATTCTTTTTCTTCCGGAAAAAAAAAATTGGGGTCTTGAAAATTTCTTTTCCTTTCCCCAAAACTTATTCTTTTTTTGGGGGGGAGTTTTTTTGGGGGAGGGTTTTTCGGGGGTGATTTTTTGTAAATTTAAAAAAAAAGTTTTTGGGGGGACGCCAGAACCATTTAGCAATCAAAGGGCCCATTAATTTGGGGGTTTGGGGTTGGAAAAAGGGGAGAATATTTTTGAAAACTTTAAAAAATTTAAAATTGAGTAAAGATTGAACTATTTGACCAAATTTTGGGGCCCCAGTTTTACAAAACAGGGTTGTTTTAACAAATTTAACAAATTTTTTGGGGCATTCCTTTTCCCATTTTTCAAATTTTGATTTTTTCATTAATGAAATTTAAAAATTAAGGGTTTAAAAAACCTTGTTAACCCTTCTATTGGGAAGAAAAATGTTTTGATGTTGAAGGGTTTTTTTAAATTTTCAGTTTCATTTTTTGGAAAAATCTTTGAAGGGCAACAGGGTTTTAAAATCAGTGAAAGTTTTCTCAATAAGGGTCCCCACAACCCCGGGGGCCCCGAACCTCCCAAAAATATTTAAAACTTGAAAAAATTTCAAAAAACCCTTTTTGGGGCCAAGAATAATGGTAAAAATTTTTAAGTTAAATAAAATTTAAAATTTAACTAACATTAATTTTTGTACAAATAAAATCCCCCTTAAATTTTTGGGGGGGAATTTTTCCCAATCAAAATTTTTTGAAAAGGGTTAAATCCCTTTCCCAAAAAAAACATTTTTGCATTTGGGGAAAATTTTTTTTTGGGATTTGTATTTTGGGGGGCCCCTTTTTAAAAAACAATTCTTTTTTAAAAAACTAGAAATTGTTTTTAACCCAAAAAATAACCAAACCGGGGTACCCCCTGCCAATAATTACTAAATATGTTTAATAATTTTATCAAACAGTAAAAATTTTTTTTAAAATTTTACTGAATTTCAAATCACTAAATTTTTTCCCCCAAAATTAAAAAATTTTCTTCAGAAAAAAATTGGGTTTTTACCCTTAACATTCAATAAAAAACTTAAATTCTAAATTTTTGTTTTTTTATTTTAGGGTTTTCTGAATTTTTTTTACCCAAATTTAAAAAAAAATTTAGGCTAACTCAAATGTAAAGCATTCACTGAAAAAAGATAAAGCCAATTTTTTAAAAAAGCTGCCTTTTAAAAGGAAAAAAAAAATGGGAAAATTTGAAATTTTTAAGCTCAAAAACCTTTTCTGAATCAGGGGGAAAGGGTTATTTTTTTACCGAAGGTTGGAGGGGTATAAATTTAAAATTTTTTTTTATGTACTATAAAAAATCTTTTTTTAAAGGGATTAAATTAGTGAAAAAATTGAAAAAAATGGGCCTGGAAAAAAAATAAAAAAACTTTAAATTTAAAAAGGGCTTTTTATTGAATAATTTTTTTTTTCGAAAATACCCTTCCTATATTGAACAAAAAGGGTATTGTTTTGAAAAATTTAAAAAAATAGGGGCCAGTTCCTTTTCCAAATTTGTGGTTTTTTTTGAAACTTTTGGGAAAATTGTAAATGGGGGTCAACATTTCTCCCTTCCCCTTGGGGATTATTTTTTGGGAATAAGTTTTTATCTTCCCCTTTTAATTTGACGATTCCCTTTTTAATGTTGGGGAAAAAAACTTGGGGGGGGTTTCCCTTATTTTGATTTTTCTCAGATACAAATTTCAAAGTTCCGGTTTTTCCCGGGGATCATAAAGTTTTGACATTGGGCCCCCTTTTGCAAACTAAAATTTTGGGGCAGTTTAATCAAAATTTTTTTGGCCCCCCCTTCCTTTTTCTTAAATTTTTTATATTTTTTTTTTTAAATAAAACTTTTAATTTTTGCAACAAAAAAACAGTTTTTTAAGGGGGGTACAGCTCATTTGTAGACCATTTCACTGCAGATCAACAGGGCCCCCCACTTCATATTTGGGTAGTGCCTGCAATTGTTGATGGGGCAATATTTTGAAAACTGAAAGAAAATCTTCAGGCCAAGCTTCAGAGCTACAAGACCCTATAGAAGCATGAGTTAATGATGCCAAATTGTTGGGTCTAGGTTTTCACACAGAATCAAGGGTTGGTCGGCTATAAATTATAACAAATTGTTTTAAGGCCATGCTCCATTCCTTAGTTTTCAAGTTTTGGGCTTCCATTTCAGGTTGGAAGTGAACACTTAGTGGAAATTAAGGGTCTGAAAACAATCCTTGATTACACCATGCTATTTGGGGAAGAATTAATGTGCACGTATAGATTGAAGGTCTTTTGATAGTGGAGAGGGGTTTCAGTTTACTTATTTTTCTGTTTTGTAATATCTTCCCTGAGAGGGCAACAAGGGTATAGCTCAGTGGAAGAGCATTTGACTGGCAGATCAAGAGGTCCCCAGTTCAACTCTGGGTGCCCCCTGAACTCAGTCCAAAGTATTATCGCAGGACATTGAAACAGCTTTGTCAAACCTTGCTTGCCCAGGCTTCAAGCCCCAATAAGCTAGCAGGTAAACAATGTGTTGAACAAACTCCAAATAGCATATTAAGTTGACTTACATCACAGCTACTTATATTTTGGTGACAGAAGTAAAATCCCCACTGAAATGTATAATGGGGTTTGGATACTTTCGGAATTGCCAACCTCAAATTAATTTCATGGAATGGAACCCTCCAAGATTACCCACCGGCTATATACAGAGCCAAAAGGTAACACTAACTGTGTTGTTCATTGTCGTAAATATTATGCATTGGCATTTGTATTCCAGTTGTGGTCCCCTTTTGCAAAATCCTTACATATTTTTGCAAAAGCTAGCTAATTACATTGATATAAAAACCAAATGTAACTAGCAAATCCAGCCAAATACCTACCCAGCCAACCAATTAGCCAATTATACCTGGTGTACATAATTTGATAGCAAACAGTAAATGCTTAGTTTAGTATTACCATCATAAATTTAACAAGCTAGCTAGCAGCAATATTCACCAAAATATAAGCAATTACAACTTGCAGAATAGCAACACTGCTAGTTTACTAGCCTTGCTAAAGGAGCTAGGTTAGTCAATAAAAAAACGTTAATTCTAATTTTTTCTTCTTTACTTTTAGTGTTAAACGTGAGCATTTTCGCTAGCTGGCATTTAAATGCAACAAATATTATGTTAGTTAACTACAAACCCCAGCTAACAGCTAATTTCACTATTAAAACATATTCTAAGCAGACCTGAGAGTACTTAACAATTAGCATGCTCAACTAGCTAAACAAACAAATATGGAAAGATGCTTGATAATTTAAAATGCATAGCAATGAACTCTGTTCTGCCCGTGAATCAGGAGGATTATGCCACGTGTAGTTTTTTTCACTACGAGGGAGGGGATTTAGGATGGTGGTGATAAATTAAATTGATTTAAATTATATGTGACTACAGTCAAGAAAAACTACATTTGGCGCATTCCAGAATTATGATGCAAAATCTTGGAAATCAATGGAGGCCTGGAAAAGAATGACAAGTGCTTCAAAATGAACATTTAAAACAGCATGGGTAAATGAATGGGAACTTTTATTTCCGACACCAGCGTGACTAGTCCCTCAGTAGTCTGTAATCAAAAAAACAGGTATTGTTTGAAGCAAAATTGTAACAAAAATGATTTGTCTGCATGTTCTGCTACTAATTCTTCAAATTTGTGGATTTTTTGCATTTTTTTGAAAAACTTGGCGAAAAAAAATAGAGTTCAGGGGATGACAATTTTCATTGCTCCTGTGCCACTTGGGAAGCATTATTCTATTTGCAGGGACTGAATGTTTTTGATGGCCTGCGCTTTGTACAGTAACTTGAATGCATTCAGTTTTGCAACGCCTGACAAAAAAATAGCATCAGTGGGAGTATAGCCCATTCAGTAGTGCATTTGACTGCAGATGAACAGGGCCCCCCATTTCAAATGTGGGTACTTTCACAGCAACTGTGTCCAGGAGCATGCGGGATAAAGATTGATGGACATCCTGAGGCCCTAATTTCTGTGAACAAACTCAAGAGTTGGTTGGAGGAGAGTCATATCAAATATCCAACTTCCTTATTTTCAAGTTTTTTATATTTTATTTAGGCAAAGAAAACTTCCTTTAAGTTAGATGTCTGCTAACAAATGTCTTTGATCACTACTTGGGGAAGAAGGGTTTGTAAAGGATGAATGTCTTTTGATATTTTTTTTTTTCAATAACTTGTTTCATAAGGCATCAGGGGGGGTATAGTTCAGTGGTAGAGCATTTGACTGCAGCTCAAGAGGTCCCTAGTTCAAAATTTGGGTGCCCCTTTTAACTGTGCCCCACGAAAGTGTTCATGAGGCCAGAATTCTATACCTGCAATGTGTCGAACAGCCAGCCAGGGATCCTGTATGCGGGCTGGCAGCCTTGGAGGAAATAAAATAAAAAAACATGAATTTCTTGGTTCGACTGTCAGTCACCCTCCTTGATCATGCAATGTTATAATCAAAGATTATTGATTTATCAATTCATTAATAATGGTTTTTATAATGTATCTTGTTTATTATCATTTTATTATTTTGGATGATTCCCATTTTTAAAAATCGAAAGTGGATAAAATTTGTATTTCAAATAGTCAAGGTTATACAAAGCAAAAAACATTTTCAGAATGCAAGAAGATGCTGGAAATATTTAGGATATTGTACTGACTTTTTCACTGTCAATGACAGTCAACAAGAAATAATGGGGAAAAAAAAGTGCAATGATACTGGGGTTTTCTACAATGATGAGATTTTAATTGATGATTGTCATCTCATAATTGTGATATCCCATTCTGTCCTTCCCCTGTTCATCTGTGTGTCACTGTGGTGTGTGTATTATTGTGTATGTCTTACTCCGCTGCATCTTCCCTGGTTCCTGGCTTTTACTACACAGACCTGTGCCATTGCCATCAACACACCTACCTTCCGTCTTCTCAACTCTGCATTCAAGACATTGCTTCCAGACATCTCCAGATTGTTGCCTTTAATCCTGGACAAATGAGGGCCAGCAATTAGTACAGTGCTGCCATTACGCCTAGATGTACCATTTTTGTGAATAATATCCTGGTTTTATCTCAGACTCTTCTTATCCGATGCTCTCCAGCATCCCCAGGATCATCCACACTCCCTCTGCCTGCCACCTGACTTGAGACCAGCCGGGACACAGCTCGCGACCTCTGGACTTAGAAGGAATACGATCCCCCAAATTAACCCCTTCAGCCGTCTCTGCCTCCCACGAGTTCCTTTTTGGGTCCAAATTACCACTAGTATATATAATCAGGGGTGATGAGCAATCATTACTCACATTAGCTAGTTCAATTGGGTGATAGCAATCTGATGGCTACAGCATGAGATGACATCCCCACTGGACTGTCCATAGCATATCCAAAGTCCATGTTTTTAAGTTTTTGAAATAAAAGTATAATTCTTTGACCACATGTAACTGTTCTTAAAATTTTAAATAAATAAAATTTAATGTAACAAAATGGACACCATATAATCACGTCTGCACACCTTGAAAATTGGCCTACGTTGTAAAAAAAAAATTACAGCTCTTGCTTTGAATCCTGGAAGTATTTTGGGTGCAAAGTTCCAATACTTGAACCTTCGAGGAATACTTTGACTGGAGAAACTTTCACTTGGAATTGGGGAGCAAGTAGGTCCTCCTGGAGAATACACTTTGACTCACTAATGGAGTTATAATTTTTTCCACCACTAGTACATAATTGAGATGAGCACACAATACTTTTTTTGGTAATTTATTAACACAATTAATTAGGGCTTAAAAGAAAAAAAAAAAAACAACAACAACACATTAGCGCACTGGTGTTTTTACAAAACAACATGGAAAATAACAATTATGAAAAAACAAATAATATTTTACAGTTATAAAACCTAACTTCGAACTATTAACAGATATTTACATTTCAAACAAACAAGATAAAAAAAAACAAACAGCCAATCCCCCCAAACTAAATCTTCCCTTCTCTCAGCCCGCCTCTTTTTATCTGCCTTGTAGAAGCTGACTGTTGGAACTCAGCTCAGGTGATTTGACAGTCAGTCCGTCCCCTGTACAGGAGGTGAGAAAGCACCCTGGCAGGACAGCAATGTACTGCCCACCACCTCGGGAACCAGTGGTGGGCGTGCGGGGCTGTCTGGCCCTGCTTTAACGGGTTTGGCGGCAGAACGTGCTGCAGAGCAGTCTGCGGGCAGAAGTTGTTCTGCCTTTGCGTTTCCTCCGCAAGAGCCTCCTGCTAACCTCCGGCACCTCTGCTGGCCGAACCTTGGCTGCCTCAAGTCTCTGTGGCAAAGAAGGGTTAAGGTCGGCAAAGTCCACAAATGCATTCTGGGGTCAGTGAAGCCTTCTGCTGCATAGAGCTGGTGGATTCTTCTGAGCAGTGGAGTGCTTCACCACCAGACTGGTAGAAAAAGGGACGGAGGAACCGACTCCCTGGAACGTGACCCGCCGGGCCACAAGCAAGACAGTTCCAGGTCTTCTTCTCTCCCAGCTGGCGCTGCTGCTGTTGCAGTGCCGCCTGTCTCTGCACTATGTCCCGCGACCATGTCTCGATGGCAGCCTTTGTCAGGGGAGCTCCGGGGATCACCTGCAGGTGGATTTACAGCAGCAGGTGGCAGCATCACCACAGGCACACTCTTGGTCTCACTCTCTGCCGTCAGGTGTTGCCAGCCTTCTTTCCGCCCAGGAGTTTTCTGGGGCTGGTGTTCAGGGAAGTGCTAGTGTTGGTCCGCTTGCACAATGCTTGACGTACTGTGAAATCTTGCTTAGTTGTTGGTGCAACAGGCTGTCGGGATCACAGGGAAGCAGGCTGCACCAAGCCAGCATAGTCCCTGTCCACCCACTGCAGGAAATCCTTAGGCCCCCAGAACTTACTATGAGGCCGCCTATGACCTCCCTCATGGCCCCTCTGTCCACGGGGTATTAAGACATACGGAGCCCACCTGCCTTTGATGGACGTCAATAAAGTGGCTCGCAGAGAGAGGCTATGACAGGCAAGCGAGGTGTCATTGGCAGATCTGAAAACATGCAAAAATAAAAAAGCTTAAATATACTCTTTTTAAGCATAAGTAACATTACTGAGTTTGGTGAATACTATGCACAATGAGTAATGAACAATAAGTAAACATATTGCTATTAAATTAAGGATGCCCTTCTTTGTATAGCAGTTTTATTTAAAAACACTTCATAGTATGTCTTAGTGTGTGCTTAGTCTATAATTTTATTCTTTTGTACCCTTTATTCTGGCTTATTTACTAAGTGTATGCTGTTTGTGATGTTCTGTCATTGGTCAAATGCCACAAATTCCCCATCTTCTCCAAGACACAAAAACCTATCTGATATCATGATCTTGAGTATACGTCTGCTCACCTTATTATTAGAAGATGTGTAAAATATGGGGATATTAACTTGTTGACCTCCACTTGTGTCCAGCGCTCAATGGTTTGAGTGGGGGGGTTGACTGGGGATTTGCTGAGTGTAACCTGGGGTCCAGGCGGAAGAGGCCTCAAAGATGTCATCCTACAACAGAGGAAGCTCGGCACCTTGATCATAATTATTGCCCAAAACTGCAGGGGTAAACTGCACGCTTGAGACTGAGAGAACGGCCTTAAGATGCTATCAATGCAACTTACAATCTCTTGGGGGTGTAAAGAAAGGTTGGTTGGTGACCTCCTGTTCGTCTGCTCCCTCTTCATCACCTCTGGGACCTGTTCTAAACCAGTTCAGAGGTACAGGACACACCCCGGTTTCACGTACTGCAGGCCAAATCTTTCCCTGTGTCTCTGTAGCGCCAGCTGCAGTGCAGGGTATTTGGCACGCCCATCACCCTCTCCGACGCCACGTTCAGCAGCATGTTGAGGACTGGGTCAAGACTGCAGGTACCTTCATCAGGCAACTTCAGATCTGCCAACTCCTGAAAGTTCCAACGCACATACCCATCATGCCTTGAGCCTGGAAAGCTCGGAGGAAACACAGATGCCTGTGATCCGTTTGGGCCTGATGAGCGTGGAAGCCCTCCTGCTGCGAGTAGGTGCGTCTCACAGGGGATCCACACGGCACAGCCGCTCCTTCACCCTTGACACGGTTAAGCTGCACGGTTCCTCTCCGTGTCTGTAGGGGATCCTTCTTCCTCGCTGGGTCCCAGGCAGCCTCTCAGGATGGGCACCCTCTGGATTCTCACAGCTTCAGCACCGATGGCTTGAAGAGGAAGCCGCCATTGGGGATCCGTTGCCAGAAGAACTGTCTGATGCGCACTCCACCCTCTCCAACAGCTCTTCGGGTTGTGCTACCTTAGAATTTACAATTCAAATGTATTACAAATGTTTTTGAGTGCATAAACAGAAGACAGAACTGAAATGCTTCCTCTTAATGATAACATATCAGGCGTTACACATTATGAATATCAAAAATACCTTTGTCCCACTGTGTTCCCCGGATATGCTGCTTAGTTGGGTTAGCAGGCTTAATCCACAGAAAGCGCAAGCCTCCTTCAGCCGAAGCTGCAGTCGAGCAGGGCGGGCGGGAGCGAAGCTGTCAGACAGGACGGGTAGGCGGAAGCTGCAGTCGGGGGCAGGATGGTGACCAGGGCTGCAATCCGAACAGGCCAGTGGGCAGGCTTCTGTCGACAGGGAGGCGGAGCAAGGCCAGGCAGGGCCCGGCCGGGCCAAAAAGCTGCATCGGGGGTGGGCCAGGCGGAGCAGAAGCTGCAGTGAACAGGACAGGCAGACAGAAGCTGCAGTCGGCAGGATGGGACAAGCGGGCTCAGTCAGGGGCAGGACAGGAGGCAGGCTGCAGTGGAACAGGGAGAGCGGGAAGGGGGAAGCTGCAGGTGGGGACCCCAGGCGGAGGCGGGGGCGGCAGACAGTGCAGGGAAAACAGTTAGGGGAGAGGCTCAGGATGAAACATTATATTGTTTCATGATGAGCAACCATATAAAACATAATATTAATAACAGACTAATGGGAAAAAGATAAAACATCTCTTAATACTGTCAAGTAATTACATAATCAAATACTAGTAACTCATACTTTTGATCGATGGATGTTGTCCTAAAAACATTTTTTACCTTGAGGTGCTAGATGATGAGTCTAGACTGTCACCAGGTGGTTTAGGCCTGACTGGCAGGTGGCTGTTGGCATCTGAAAAACCAGAGACAGTTTAGTCACCGTAAAACCTCCATTTCAGAATGACAGATGCAATTGACCGCGGTGCTTTGTTTATATGCTTTTCTCAATTGGATCTGTGGTAGCATTAGCTTTGATTGAACATTAAGC